CTTTTGACTGTGCAGGAAAGAAAGTTTGAGAAATGGCTTTGAAGGCATGCCTTAGCGGAATGTCGCAGCGGCAGGGCAAGGGTAGGAACCAGCACGCCGGAGGCTTGCAGAGTGGCAGAGCGAACGGAGGAAGGCGTTTGAAGGAGAGGCTGTTTGACATCAAACATGCTTCTTGCCTGCTTATACTATTGGCTCAGCTCCAGCCTTCGGCCCAGGAACAGGAGAGGAAATGTTTCATGTCTCCTCCAACATTGCAAGACTGTTTCCTCCCAAGACCTACTCTGTGGGTTTCTGAGGGCTTCTTGGAGTGGCTCAGCTCTGTTAAGGGGCTTTCAGGAAGGGAGCTGAAAAGAAAACCAGCTCTTCTGTATTTTCTGTGCAGACATGTGGTTTTAAGTGCAGACCATTGGGGGGGTGTGTGTGTGTGTGTGTGTGTGTGTGTGTGTGTGTGTGTGTGTGGGGCTGGGGGGGGGGGTGTGGGGGGGGAGGGGGGAGCGTGGGGGGTCAATGTATATATAGCCCAATATAGATGAGGTAGCTCCATGGGTATGTGTGCATTTGAGTGTGTGTATATTTATACACATACATATATATAATATATATATTATATATATATTATATATATATTATATATATATCCCATGTGTGTGAGTGCCCACAGAGACCCAAAAAAGTCATCAGATCCCCCTGGAACTGGAGATAAAGGCCGCTGTGAGCCACCATGAGCCACCTGCCGACCAAGGGTCTTTAGCTAGGGCAGTCAGTCAATCCATGCCTGTGACCCTGCTGCACCTCTTCAGCTATGGATTAGCCCTTCTAAGTTGCTGTCCGTCAAACACACACTGCTGTCTCCCAGGGTTGACAGGTGGGCCTCCTACAGGATCCTTAATAGTAATAATAATAATTTTAAGACCCTGGGTTTGGGGCTGGAGAGATCAGAGAACCCAAGCTCCATTCCCAGCACCCACATGGTGGCTAAGAGCTCTCTGTAACTCCAGTCCCAGGGGGTCTGACACCCTCTCCTGCATCAAAGGCTACTCATCAAGTTAATATGGTGCACAGACATACATGCAGACAAAACACCCGTACGCATAAAATAAAAATAAACATCTCTAAAAAGAAATAACACCCTGACTTTAAACCTACTAGAAAAAGATAGGTGCTTTTCCAGTTCTAGAATTATTTAAAGTCAGAATTTTCACAAGCTTAATAGACTGAGGAAGGAATCTGAAGGGTACTCCAGCTAAGAAGTGTCCTTATGCCTGTTTTCCAACACAGTGAAAATCTGAACCTACTTTGACATCCTTCTTGACATCAATGACTGCTACCTAACAAGCCCCACCCCCTCTGCTGTTACCTTGAATAAGAGGCTAAAAATCCCATCACAGATCTATTTTGACTGGAAGCCTGAAACTGTTTACAGGGGAACAGCCTGTGTTCCTGACTTGCATTTTACTAAGCCACCTTGCAAGACCAACAAGGAAGAAAGGAAAGATGGATCAGTTGTGAGGAGGAAGACGACCCTACTTCTGGTCTTCACTAAGTGGCCCCACCGTTCTGCTGTTAGGGCTCTGACTTGTAGCCCCAATGTGGGCTCTGATAAAAGGAGGCTGAGGTCACCAATTAATTCCCCTGTGCCTCTGGCAAAAGGAAATTTAAATTTCAGTAATGACCATCTCGTGCCATAATCCAAAGTGCTGGTATCACCCACCCTGAGGCCTGGAGACTTTCCTGCCGGCTACATCTCTATGGAAATGCATGACATCTTCATTGTTGGGTTGTCTGTCTCCAGGTGGACATCTTCATTTCAGGCACCAGCCTTCAGAAAGCTGACAGGCCTTTTTGTTTGATTTTATTAAGTATTGTTTTTTAAGAAATTGTGGCTTCTTGGAGGGTCTTGCTGATTTACACCAGGATGGATTTTGCATTGCGTGTTTTTTAAGTAGTGATGATAGGCCAAGCTTGTAGTCTGAGTTGGTTGTTTTCTTATTCTTTGTACTCAGTCACGTTGTATTGTCCTGACAGTGCTCTGGCTAGCCAGCCAGGATATTAATGACACTGTCAAACCTATCTGCTGTCTAACTTGGTCGGAATTCTGTCTTCCTGAAAAGCAAAGAAAAAAAAAAAAGCCTGTGTTTGAAGTAATGCTATTTTGAAAGTCATGCCACCAGGAGATTTTGAATTTCATTGGAGAAAAATATTAATAGCTTGCCTATTACTTTCAATTCAGTTGTGATCCTGGAGGGCTGAGGAAATAAAGAATGAATGTTTACTTTACCGAGCTGCTCAAGGTGTGATTACACTGTTGTATGGTGGCCCAGATGGGAGAGGGAAGTGAGCAGGGGAGGAAGGAAGGATGGCCTTTCTCAGGGACACCTGTGCTGTAGAGTGTGCAGAGGGCTGTCTGCTTTTCCAGAAGTCTCTGTTCATGTTCTATAATGAGGTGTGATTACATGGGGTCCTGGGTAGGACATTAGAAAATCTACCAGATTGTGATGTATTATATTTAGTAATTGAAGGCTCAGCTAAGTGTGCATTTGTTCAATTAAACCGTAGCAATTATGTCATTGTGCCATGATTTAAAACTCTTAATGCCTCAAACTAAAGTTGAGATACTCATTTTTAAATTTTTATTTTTTTTTACCTGTATTTTGATCTCTGTATGATCTCTGTATGTATACCAGGGACATAATTATAGCTGTTCTTTTTCTAATTAGCAATGCTTTTACAACTTATGAGTAAACAATCCTTAATTAAATGTGTTGGTATTATTAACTTCCTTTTTTCATCTGAATACCAAATCAGAGTGTGAGATTCTCTTGTTTGCTTTTTTATTTTGAGATAGTGTTTGCTTTGTAACCTAGACTGGCCTCAAACTCAAGACCTTCCCATCTCAGTAGCCTGTGTGCTGGAATTATGCACATGAGCTGTCATAACAGTAAAATACTTTTACTTTGTACTTGTAGATTCAAATCCATCTATTAACTTGTTAATTTTAGACTTGGGATTCCTGAAAAGCTCATTAGTGTAATCATACACACGGCTCCCAAATTTCTTTAGAAAGAAGTAGAAACGGGGCTGAGGAGATGGCTCAGTTGGTAAAGGGCTTGCCACACAAGCTTAGGACCTGAGTTCAAATCCTCAGTACTAGTGTAAAAAGCTAGGTGAGAGGGTGCACGCCTGTAATCCCACTGCTAGGAAGCAGAGAGAGGACTTGCTGGCCAGGAAGTCTAACGGAATTGTCAAGCCTAGTGTCTGCAAGAGACCTGATCCAAACAAATGAGTGATACAGGCCATTGGCCTCTGGCTTCCTTCCACATGTATGCACATGAACCCAAAATAAACATACACACCACACTCGTGTACAGAAATACAACAGAAATGTCGACAGATTTTTCTTTGGGCCACCAGCTCACAAAAAAACAACATGGAGACTTAGTGTTAATTAGAAAAGCTCTGCCTAACTTTAGGCTTGTTTCTAACCAGCTCTTATAACTTACACTATTCCATACTTTTAAATCTACATTCTTCCACTGGCTTGTTTGTTACCACATCTCTATTATGTCCATCCTGGTTATTCCATGTCCAGCTGGCAACTCTGCCTTTCTTTTTCCTAGAGTTCTCTCTGTCCCACCTGTACTTCCCACCTAGCTCTTGTACAGTTAACTTTTATTAAACCAACCACAATGATACATCTTCACACAGTATAAAGGAATATTACACAGCATAGACATAAAGAAGAATTAATATAATCAGTATCTACCTTGAATTGTCAAGTGGAAAAAAATAAACCACACAAAGAGCCTAGTCAGAAATACTGGGTCTTGTTATACATACAAATATATGCAAATATATTAGCTTCATAAGGAAGGGAGAAACATTTGACAAGCACAGTTTCTTTGGTGTTCTCATAAATACTGTGTAAAGAGGTAGGCAGGGGAAACTACAGCTACATTAGGAAGTTGTATTATAAATACTAGAATAAGACATCTTTAAGGAATAAACTCATCGTACTCAACCATAGGCCATAGGAAAACATGTTAAAGCTTCTTAGCTTGGAATACAAGTTTTCTTAGTGATAGACTGTTAGCTCTTAGAAGTGAGGCCAGACCATTTTCAAAGCAGTTTGTTGATGAAATTTTCTAATTCCATAAATTTCTGTGATTTTTCTCCCTCCACAAGGTGGACCAAGGATGAGTCAAAACTCACACCTGTTTTTGAACTTAATGTTCCCAAGTCATTTCCTGTTGACAGACATCTGGTGAAAATGTCATTCCCATCATCACCAAATGTCTGACCTACAGGAGGACTTTGGCCAAAGTCTTTCCCAATTTTGTCCCATGGTGGATATTGACATTGAGATACATGTTCTCGTCTCTGGCTGTTGACAAGTCTGGGTTCCATCTACAGCCTTCTGTACCATCCAGCCTTGGGGCTTTACCAACCCATTTAGAGCTAGCTGATATGCCTCTGTGCACGTCACTTCGTAGAGGTTAAAGCGTAGATCCACAGTAACTGTTTGAATTTAATGTAAGAACCCTAAAAAGGAAAAAAAATTAAATTTCCAATTGGTTTTATTTGTTTAGCAGTATAACTCTATAGTCGTAAACAGTATGATATTTTTCAAAGGGGCGGAAAAACAAATGTGTGAATATAGAGCTGAAAATTGCTGTATCAGGAACTGTGGACAAATAGTTTCCTGGGATAAATGAAGACATTAAGGCTGATGTGTGGTGTTTCCCAATGTGTCTGGGTTACAGAGACTTTCAGTGTCAGAGAGCCTGCTTCTTACCCAGTATTTGCTCACTATATAGTCTACAGTGCAGACAGAGCAGAGCACCTCTTAGAAAGGACCTAAGGTGCCCATGCATGCTTCTTCCAGATTGTTCCAGATGAGCCCCATGTAAAGGTTACCGGGGAAGGGTCTAATGTATGGCTTTGGCTTTACTGACACTTTTCTGCCATTGTGGTAAATCCCTTGCCTTTGTTTTGTCATTCAGATGAGTATAGAATCAAACCTGTGGAAGAGGTCAAATACATGAAAAATGGGGCAGAAGAGGAACAGAAAATAGCAGCCAGGAACCAAGAAAACCTGGTAAGAACTGAAGTTCTCTGGTAACAATGACTTGTGGTGACTGTTGGGAGAAAACCTGCGTCGCACATTGAGCCCAGGCTCACATCCTGGGACACGATTTCTTGAAAACGCTGTAGCTATTCTTAGCCTGCCTGGAAGCTGCACCATTACCCTGTATCCTGTTTGTCTCAGAATAGGTCCCTTTTTAATCCTGATAAGAAATGCTCCGGGGAAAACACAGCAAAATTATTAATGTTTCTAAGAGTCAAGTTGAAGGGAGTTAAAAAAAAAAAAAACTGCTGGAGGATTAAGATGAACTGGAGGGGGACCCCCGCCCGCCCCCCTCCGCCTCCTAACACGTATTCAGGTCGGGATGAATAGTAGCATTTTATTATTGGAAACTTGTAATGAGGAGGTTGCCTTTCAAAGGAAAACCTCATACTTCTAAAAGAGGTCTCCATCCAAAGAGCCTGTTCTTCACCTTCGTGGTTTTAAAGTTTGAGTTAATATGAGACTTGTAATACTATGAAGTGAGAGGGCTTCTTGCTCAGTTAGGAATCACTGTACACATTCTTCCCCAGCATCCCACTTCTATAAAATGTTTAGGCAGTTATCATCTTAATTGATTTTTAAGAGGTTAAAATAGTTAAGGTTTTATCTTTATTCAGTTGCTTTGGGACCAAATGGGTTTTGTTCATATCTTGCATATATTTTATATTTAGATTATTTACCTATAGGATTGAACAAATGTAGTCTTCAGAATTTTGTGTAGCATTAAGTACTCTTGCTTCACTGGCATTTTTTTTTTCTAAAGCACATTTTGTTCTTGCTTTTGTGACTTCTGCAGCGCAGGGATTGACACAATATTAATCACTCCTCATGGCTGTCATTTTCTGTCAGACTCTAGTGGATATTAGAGACTTTTGTTTGTTTGTTTGTTTGTTTGTTTCATTCTCTTCTATACAACAGCCCTAAATAGTAAAATATCAGGAAGTGGTTATTTTACATCTTAAGTAGTGAAAATAAAGGACTGTTCAGTGCAAGGACAGCTACCTGGAACAGCCTGGCCTTGGCTTCCCTTTCTGTACCTCTGCTTGGTGTGCTTGTCTCTTGGGATCCTGAGGAAGCTGGAGACTGAGTTGCTCTCACTGCTCATCCTGCTGAGGTCAACACAATACTCTCCCTCCACCCCCGTGATCCTTGCAATCTGTTGGCTCTTCTGATACATTCCTAGTCAACTCTGTGGTGAGAATTGGCCCTAGTGACCTGTGCAGACCAAACAGACACTTCAAGAGAGAGACTTCTGGTCATTCTGGCTGATTGGTGTGGCATGTATGCCAACCCCCACTCCTTTATTTGACCAGAGGCTCAGGGTCCACACTGCTACTGGCATTTTTCCAGTGTGCAACATTTGCATGGGAATGGGGAGGAGGTAGATGTCTTTGATGCTGAAATGAGCAGGCTGCTTTCCAAAGTTAAAACTGATTTTTCAGTTATCCGTTACAGTATGCTATGTGTGTTAGTTTCTAAGTCAATGTCTAGTCTCAGCAGTTTATGCTACCCAGTAGCAGCTCTCCAGTCTTGAGTCTTTTGGCCACAGTTTCAATGGCTGATGAGTCCTGTCCATGCATCATTGATGTCCTCTAAATTCACACAGAAATATACTCTGATTTCTATCATTGCTCTATATCTATGTATATTCTACTTTGCTTTTCACTTATTTAAGGTCTTTGCAAAGAGAACCTTTCTTAATGAAGACAAAGATTTTTTTAAAAAGCTGTGAAGAACTTTCTTTTCTAACATCAAAGTCAAATACTTTTGTAAAATGGAATAGTTGCAAGACATAAGTAGTAGGTTAGGATAAGACATAAGTAGTAGATAAGAATAAGACATAGGTAATAGGTAAGAACCTGGGAGAAAATATTTGTGATAATACACAGTGAAAGGGCTCATACCTGAGATACAGAAATTATACCTCTAAACAAGAATGGGGTAATCTGTTAGAAAAATAGATAAATGAACACACCAAGTGGTACACAGTAAGATCATATAAGGTACATATAAGATCATCATACAAAAAGCTGTTCTCCATCACTTGGCCTGTGCACACTCACTCAGAGACACCAGTTTCCTTTGTGTCTCTGAAGGGAACTGCCCCCACCACCACCAAGGTACACTTGCCTGGGTTTCTGGTGGGCTGATCTCTAAAATCACTTGTGCTTTTGTTCCTTTGATTTTGTGTTTCCGAGAGCCAGAGGTGTGCTGGTTCTTAAACCGGTTTGTGCTGGTTGAATGTCATTGTAATTATGTAATTTAGTTAAATAATATGCAAGCCAGTGAAACACCAGCATGGAGAGAGCCGTTACAGTGAAATTTAAATGGAAGGCTTTGAAAAGTCTTGATGAAGGCAGGTTATTAAAAGCTTGCTGTTTAATTGAATTCTGCATCCAGCCTCTTACAAGGTCTGTACTTTCTCACTTCACTTAAGAAACCAAATAGCATTCACAGCTGTGCTTTGAGGACACGGTCAGTGAAGGAGGAAAAGCCATGTTCTGTGACAAAGGGTGGGGAAAGAAATGCTCATCTTGGTATTTTAAAATTAAATAGCACATTTAGTGTGCGTATACATTTTACATGCCCCTACTTTGACTCCGTGACTTCAATTACACAGTTGGGGTGTCGTCACCTAATAAAACTTACTATAATTAGGAAAATACAAATTAAAATGTGATCCCATTTTTTTTCACCCATTAGATTGGCAAAAACTTGAAGTTAGATAATGTCAGACTTTGGCATGGTTGTAGGAAAATATGTGTTCACGTACCAGTGGTAAACACCTCTCTCGGAGGACAGTGTGGTGGTTGGTGTCTATGAACGTTTAAACATGCAAACACTTCCACAGCTTGTATCCAGTGGGCAGCTGCCTAGGTGCATGAGGAAGCCTGTACAAGACATTCACCAATAGTGTGGTTTATGTTGGAAAAAGAAAAAAAAATGAACAAAGAGTTATCTTCCTGTCAGGAGGAGAACAGTTGTTACATCACACTAAGCAACAATTAAAGAGAATGATTTGGAACTGTTATGAAGAAAACCATGCCAATTTCAGCATTGATATATGTACTGTGATACCATTTAAGTTTTTTTTTTTGATGAACCCAAAACAGTAAAGCTCTGTGTTTTCCCACAAATACCCATGTATATGCAAAAATTCATAGATATTTCAGAAAGCCATGATAGATGTGTTCCAAACTAGCAGCATACAGAACTTTAGCTAACTGATTTGCAAATCGGGAAAGATCGTGGAACTCACTTTAGTGAGAACTTATACGTAATATTAGTACAGTTTCTGGCAAAGAACATGCCACTGTGGAGTATTGTTATTTTACTTTTGTTAATGGAGTTGTGTTACTTAGGGGCAGATGAAAAAGAATTAATTCCATGTTCAAGGAGGATTTTGTTTTTCTTTTTGGTTTTTCTACACAGGGTTTCTCTGTGTAGCTTTGGAGCCTATCAAGGAGGATTTTTATTATTTAAATTTTGATTGAAATTCATTTATTCAAAGGGGGAAAATAGCAAGTTTCTAGTTTTGACTACTTCAGAATCTTAAGTAGGATCATAGCATTTTCTCATTGTCTTGGGTAGATAGAGTCCATGCAGGGAGGGATAGAAGTCAGTCAGACTTACATGACATTCAGTAAGTCTTATGCTATGGAAGTTCATAATTTTGCACGTAATTAATTTAGACATGTATTACTCTAGACTTGGCAGTATCCAGCCCTTCACCTCTGGTAATGTCTTGACAAAAAAAAATTCCATGTATAGTTTGAAAGCCCTCCTCAACTGTTTAATAAAACATTGTCTGGTTTGCCTTAATTAACACTTACCATTCTAAGGACATCTTCCCCCAAGAGCTGTTAAATCATTTCATGCCAATTTATTTACTTTGCTCATTTAGGGTGTATACTTCCTAGGTTTACAGGTGTCATGTTTATTTTTATTCATTCTTTCAAGGTATCTTTGTATAAATGAGACGATGCTTTTCTCTCTCACATGATACACAACACAAGCTTTTGACTTCTGTCTTGTCCTTATTGTTGAGGATGATTTAAAACACCTCTCTGTGGTGCTGGAGAGATGGCTCAGTGGTTGGTTAAGAGAGTTTACTGCTCTTGAAGAGGACCCTGAGCTTGACTCCAGCAACAGTGTCAGGCAGCTCACAGCCAGCTGTAGCTACAGCTCCAAAGAATCCTACGCCCTCTTCTGGCTGCTTCAGGAAACTGCACTCATGTGCACATACCCACACCTATTCACATAATTAAAGATTAAAAAAACCAAAAATACCCGAATCTAAATCACCAATTCCTCAGCATAGTCAAGGAACAGAGTTTTTAAAATGAAATGCTCTAATGTGCCTCATCAGGGAAGCTGAAGTGGAATTTTATGACTACACACACCCCTTTTCAGTTCGTGAGTTTTCAAACATACCCCGGTGCATTAAATTTCCCAAGAAATATCAGGGTATTTGATTGCAGAGGAGACTTGAAATTAGGAAATAGCTTTGATGAGACACAGTGTATTAGAAACACATGAGAATCATAGGAGCTGTGACATCTAGCTGGTAAAGTAAGAGAAGAGGGCTCCCATTCCACAAAGTACTGAAAGTGAGGGACAGCTGGAAACATGAACCAGAGAGCATCTGTGATTCTGCTCGGTGATTTAGGTCAACAGGAAAGCTAAGTACTCAAGACCACAGCCACCACATCACTCTAATTATCAGAATATACTTTGTAAAGAATAAAGGGCATGTGACTGAAGGTTCTAGGTGATAACACAATGTTTGTTCTAATCAGATAAATACCCCCATAGAGATGTTCTTATAATTAGCAATGCAGAAGTCCATGTGGACTGCTTTTGTTTAACCTGTAGTACCAAGTTTACCTTTACTGTGACCCATGGAGCAGCTAATACAATAGCAAATTGACTTTCTGTTTAAAGTTTGGCCTGATGATCTTAGTGATGAC